CGATAATCAACACAAAACCTCACTCCTCCATCCTTCTTTGGCACCAAGACAACAGGGGAAGCCCATGGAGACTTTGACGATGACACCAAGATCCAACATTTCTTGGATCTCCTTAGCAATTTCTTGCCCATGTTTCCCACGAACCCTGTAGGGGTGAGAGCTGACTGGGGCCACATTCTCTGTTTTAATAGTGTGAGTGATCAAATGTGTCTTGCCAGGCACACTGGTAAACAGTTCTTTGAACTCCTGCAACACCCCATTCAACTGCTCTGCCTGTTCTGGAGTACACCCAGGGTCCAGTACCACTTGGTCAAGGCCTCCCTCTTGTTTGCACTCCTCTAGCATATCCAAAGGTTGCTCTGGTACCTCACTCCTTAGTTGATAAGCAAACATATTAGGCGACCTTTCAAAGAACTTCTTTAATCCTGTACAGTGGAGCACTTGGTATGCAAGTCAACTGTGCTTACATCAGTGTGCCTAATCTTTATTATGGTGGCAAGAAACCTTACAATTCAGAAAGTGATTACTTTATCCCTATCTGCCAGTAGTAGTACTAATTTATTCTGATCTGACCTTCCTGGGCAATGAGATATAATTAGGGGTGTATTTAAAAAGTATTTTTCATGTTTGGGTATATGGGGTGTATTAAAAAAGTATTTTTCATGTTTGGGTATATGGATCCCCCCCAAAAAATAGTATTTCCTGATATTCCTGAATCCTAATACCAGTATGGTATTTGGGATTTTTTTTGAAAACTCAATTTTTTGGCCTCATTATACCCTATGGGATCCATTATAGTCAATGGATCCCATAGGGTATAATAGGGAATTTATCTGGGGGTATCCGGAAGTAGGGGGGGCTGGGTTTTTTTAGGTAGAACCAAATTTGCAGTATAGTTGATGGTGCCTCTCCTCAAAATAACCCCCAAGTTCCAAAAAGAATGGACCAGGAGTTCCAATTTTATGGGCCCCCAAAAAAGGTGCCCCCACCCTCCATTGTTTTCAATGGAGGGGGGGGGAAAGGCCTTTAAAGGGATCAGTCCCATTAAACACCTTCTGCAAGGTGAACATTCACTCCGAATGTATGTAAAGGGCTTGTGGTCCCTTTAAATAACTTCTCCAAGCTGTGAGTTCACCCAGAAGTTGTTTTAAAGGACTGTGATCCCTTTAAACACCCTTTAACGTTTGCTATCTGGCTGTCCTGAAAAATCCCAAATATTTTTGGGATTTTTTGGGCTCCACTGTTTCTGATAGCTGAAAAGATACTTGAATGTATATTTGGCTGAAAGACTAGCCGAAAAACACCAATAAGGTATTTGTCCTTTTCTAGCATGTATAACTACATGCCATTTCTGTGCAAATTAGTTGTACAAAGATTGTTGAAACACGTATACATTTTTATGCGGAAAATCTGGTACAAGAAAATAGGGTAAAAATAAAGAATCATGGGTTTGCTCCTCACAAGAGCAATGTGGTATAGTGGTTTGAGTGTTACACCAGGATCTCGGAGACTCAGGTTCAAATCCCCAATCTGCCATGGAAACTTGTTGGGTAACCTTGGGCCAGCTGGGTAACTGTCTCTCAGGCTAAGCTACCTCAAAAGGTTTTTGTCAGGGTAAAATGGAGGAGAGGAGAATTATGTAAGCCATTTTGGGCTCCCACTGGGGAGAAAGGCAGGGAACAAATGAAGTGAATAATTATGTAAAGCAAGCAGAATCAAAATGGAAGTCAAATAGACAGGCGTTAAGATTCACAGGCACATATTTGAAATCAACAAGTCTATCTTTCAGGAACAGACCCGTTAATATATTTTCTAAGGATTTCGATATCACATAAGCACTATGCAATGAAAAATTATGTATTGACTTTTACTAGATACGAACAATATGTCCAGTTACGGAAAGTACTGCTGTCCTTTCAAAGCAGTATGTCACGAGATTTGTGAGCTCTCTATGGCAAATTATCACCAGACTGGAGATGTTAGAGTACCGTATGATATAAATCTGTGCCATTATACGGAACACAAAGTTTTAATTGTGGCTCTGTATGTTATAACAAACAAGCAGATCCCATCAACAGAAGGCGACAGCTTACGCTATACATTTGCACAATATTTCTGCCCTGGGATGATTTCCATAAATATCTCATTACAAGTAATGCAGGTTTTGGGATTACCAATTAAATCCAAATCTCACTCTTACATGAATGAGTAGATTATCTTCTAAAAGGGCTATATTTTTGTATGATTGCAACAAGGAAAAAAATGCCCAAATGAACAAATGAGTATGAACAAAATTCAAGACAGTGGAACCTTTAACTGACTCTAGTAGAAATTTATCCAACTATGACAATAACACCTTGTGCCTGCACTGAAAACCCTTAATGCTCTGTGCCTCTGTAAATTGCAGAATTAAAAAACATAACATATTGGCTATGAGTAAATAGTTTATTTAAAGTGCATTTTGGCACAGTATTTGTATAAATCATCTTAAAACATTTCATTCTTAAAATACACTCAGGAATATCAGCATTCTGTGCAAAATCAGAAATCCTGAGTGCAAGATGTGGTATTGTTTAATACTGGATGTACAAAATGGTAAAAAAGAATACCTACAATATTTCCTTATTTACTGTATGACAACATCCTTAAGTTAAACAACAGCATACATGAGAACCACCAGATATTTGTATTCAGAGCACAGCTGCAGCATGTCCAAATTAGATCAGCAAGATTGTGAGGTACATAATAAATTTATGCATTAATAAATTAAAATTCTAGAAAAAAGGCAATTTCTATTCATCATGCACTAATAGTATATCTTTCAATGTAGTTCTCCGTAATCCTGAAACACGTACCAAAAGCTGCCTGGATATTTTGTAAGAAACAGTTTAAATTTCTAAAAATAAAGTTAATATTAAATAAAGATTGCAAAAACATAATTAATGCAGTTTAAGAACTTCTAATCTAAACATGTCTGCTTATAAGTATATAAATTAAAATTGAGCAACTCTGTGGGTTATTGTGTCAAAGTTACTTCAAATTTATGTAGCATGAAAAAGCGGTTAGAGCACCTTTGGCCCCTGCCACACGGCAGGGAAATCACGAGCCGAAGCGCGGCTTTTAAAAGCCGCGCCAAAAAAGAAACGCCGCAGCGGGATACCATGGATCCTCTGGCCGCGGCGCCTTATCTCCCTGGCACGATCAGATGCCGGGGAGAAAACACAGTTCCGACGGGGAGGCTGCTGAACTGCGCATGTCGGAGCATGTGCAGTTTGGGTGGGGCCCGGGGATTCGCCG